ACTTCTTCTTGAGCCGCTGAACAGGTTCCTAATGGTCTGCCCACCCCTGGATGCCGCCATCTCTGGGTTCCATTCCTTTCCCGCCACGGCTCTCATCCTGGGTGCCGACCTCTTTGAGTTCCCCAAGGCTGTGTCTCCAACCCAGTTCCCTCCTGTGCCTGGATCCACACCCGCATCACTGAGGGGACATGTCCACCTTGACTAGGACACAGGTCACAGACTCACATCCAAATCTGAACTCTGCCCCCTCCTCACCCCCTTTTACATCCTCCCCATCTCAGTCACCCTACTCAGTGCTCTGCTGCCCCAACCTCCTTGGTGTACCACAAGAGCCGCTCTCACCAGCCTGTCCCCTCCAGGGCAGGAATCAGCCAAAGGCACAGTGCACCCCCTCCCACCTCGCTCAGCTCAGTGCAGAATCCAGCCAGCATTTCACCTGCGCGTTAATAATGAAAATCTCCTCTGATATCTAAAAGAGTCAACATTACCCAAGCCTGTCTGGCTAACACCGGTGCAAAGTAATATTAGGAATCTTGTCACAGTTTAGACACCACAGGGGACTGTCCTCATCCTCCTCATCTTGTCTCCCCATCCATTTCCTGGCTGTGCATTCAGCCCTGCTCCACACCTGGGCGGGACCTTTCCCAGGAGCCCTTGTCCCAGGGTGGGGTGCTGTGTCACCAGAGTTGTGATTAAATGGCCTTCCCGCTCCTCTTCGCCCACCGCCACCACTCTCTCCAATTCCGTGGGAATTAGGGAAACTTACTCAGCTTCTGGGAGCTGAGCAATGTGGTTGTGCAGTCAAATCCAGCTATTTCTGGATCCTCCTCCCTCCCCGTCCCACCAAGGCCACCCAGCTCTCAGTGGAAAGACGGTTCCCTAGAAACACCACCGAGCACAGAGTGGTCTGTGGCGTGTGACTAACACAGAGCAGTCAGTGCACTGCTGGGATGGCTGTCCCAGGCATCCTCTGGGATCCAAGCAGAAAAGAGAATTACCCTCCAGATTGAACAGCAAAGCAAATTTGGAGAAAGGGAGATGGGCAGGGAAAGGCACGTTTCTGAGGCAATCTTTTTTTTTTTTTAAAATCTCTAAGCAAGTGGCAATTCAGACGAAAGGAAATGTGAGAGCTATGGCGGGGGCTTAACTGAGGCTGAAGACTGAGCCGGGAGCGATAAATCCCACCCGACAGGAGACGGGAAAACAGGGGCTCGTCAGACGGGTTAGAAGAGACAACCAGAAAATGGTGGTTCAAAAGCAAAGGAATGAGGGCAAGAAGTGTGGTCAGGCTGGTGCAGATACTGCAAAATAAACCTCGTCAGTGAGGAACGGGCAAGGGGAACTGGCACAGACAGAAGAGAAACCCGTGACCTTGGCCGCGGAAGCTGCAGCCAGCCCCTGAGAACAAATACACCTCAGTTCCAGTTACATGTAAGTCCAGGATGCCTTTTGATTCACTCCCAGTTGGGACAGCTGGATCCAGCAAGAGCAGAGAGGACCAGGCCCTGCAGATAAGTAGCCAAATTAACCAAACAAAGGGAGAGAACAAGGGCCAGTGTAGGCCAGGCACAGGAGAGCACATATTTGGATGTATGATCAATCGTCAGACCAGGAAAGGATCTGAGCGCAAACCTCAGAGTGAGATAAATGGGACATTGCAGAATAGCCCTGCCGTTTATTAGCTGAGTGAACTTCAGCAGGTTATGTAACCTCTGTGAGCCTCAGTTGCCCTCTCTACGGAGTGAAAATAATAATAAACTCGGCCCCTGGGTGCAAAGGCTCCACCCTGCACAGGGCAGGTGCCCCGCAAGCTGCTGCTGACGGAGAGGAAGGCGATCGCATCACACTTACTGTCCAGAGGCTCCTCCACTTCCTTGTAGACTTGCCGTAAGGACCCGTCTTTCATGTACTTCTCAGTGAAGATGTCGTAAGGGACCAGTTCTCGAATGGTCTTCTTGTCATCCTCCGAGGTGGCAAGCCAGCGATCACAAGGGAAGGTCAAGGTCTCTGTGCCCTGGAGGGAGGAGGAAAGAGGCAGCTGAGCCCTTAATGTGGACGCTGCCAACTTCACTCGTTCATCATCATGTCAACATTCACGGGGACCAAAGGCAAGGGTGATAGAGCCCCACTGACAGTGCAAAAGCCACAGGGGAGCCCTCCCAGCCCTGCCCCGATTCTGGCAGATCCAGTCTTACTTAAAGGACTTCCCCACCACATCAAGGGTAGGCTCATGAAGGTGGAGCTCCCCAGGTCACTTAAAAATAGATACACAAACCCCATCCCGGAGACACAGACTCAGCGGGCGAGGCGAGGAGGCTCTGTATTTTTAAATTGCTCCCAACTCACACATACCACGGCCGTAACTGAGAGCTGCCTCCCAGGCTTAGAATCCTGTGGTTTTGGACTGTTTTCCAAGTCATTTGGGTGTATTTCTTTCTCAGAGTTGCCCTTGAGTCACAGGAAGGGCACTCATTAGTAGCATGGCCTCTGGGGTGGGGAGCAGAGACATGGATTCCCAACCCTCCTCTGCCTCCGGATTTGTGCCCAGGAGTGGGATTGCCGGATCATACGGTAAGTCTATTTTCAGTTTTTAAAGGAACCCCCAGGCTGTCCTCCATAGTAGCTGCACCAAATTACATTCCTACCAACAGTGTAGGAGGGTTCCTTTAAATTTTTTAATGATGGTCATTCTGACTGGTGTGAGGTCATACATACCTCACTGTAGTTTTGATTTGCATTTCTCTAATAATTAGCAATATTGAGCATCTTTTCATGTGCCTGTTGGCCATCTGGATGTCTTCTTTGGAGAAATGTCTAGTTAGGTCTTCTATCCATTTTTTGACTGGGTTGCTTGTTTTTTTTGATATTAAGCTCTATCAGCTGTTTGTACAGTTTGGAAATTAGTCCATCACAGACCCTCCTCCTTGACCCATAAACCATGTTCTAAAAGATCCTGCCTTGGTCCTGAGTTAGTTCCTGCGCTCTGAGTGAACAGGGTACATTTTCCTTAGATGATTTTATCTCAACATTTATAAGGCGGCAGGTCCTCATAAGGAATCTGCTGTGAATCCCTTCTAGAAAGGGGCAAAAGAAACAGCAGGACAGATCAGTCAGAAACTCACATCTTTATCTGGGAGGAGCCTGCGGATGTCCACGTGGGAGCAGTGCCACCCAGGATTTATGCCTGTATTGTTATGGCCAATCCGAATTTTTTCAATGATTTCTCCCACGTCTTCTAACTTTGGAAAGGAGAAAAAACACCAGATGTCGGCTGAAGAGTCCAGGGAAGTGCACCCTCAGCAAAACCCTGCCTCCCCAGGACGTCCACCCTTGAGTCTCTTTGAATTTCCTGGAGCCACTTTCTCCTGGTAAGTCCCTCCTGTCCAGTCAAGCCAGCCCCGCTCTACCCTATGCATGCCAAGCTCATACCTCCCTCCCTTTCTCCCCACTTAAAATCAGCCTAGACTTCAGAATTCAGTTTAATCAGCTTCAGGGAGACTATCTCCCCTTTTCAGGGTGGAGTCCAGCTCCCTGTCTTTTACCACTTACCATGAAGTAGCTGCTTGAGAACTGACTTGGGTATCAGAAGATGAGCCCTGGTTCCACCCATGCCCTGTCTTGCCAGCCTGCCCTTCTCCTTGGCCCCTAAGAGCCCCCTCCATCTCCAGCCACTCCTTTTCTGTATCACTCAAATTCCAGTCCCTCCACCTTGCCATTCTCTTGCCACAGGGCCTTTGCATATGCTCTCTCTGCCCCTCCCCTTTCCTCTTCTTTGCCTAAACCAGTGTTTGCTCAACCTCATGGTTCAGGTTTCAGGCTCAAAGATCACTGCTTCAGGGAACCCCCTTGACCACCTTGAGAAAGTTAAATCTCTTCCTGGTAGCTCCAGCAGCATCATACAGTCCCCTTCCCCAGCACTCCTCACAGTCAGAAGTGTGTGTTTACTTGTGAGGTACTTTCTCCACCACTGAAAGCCACAAGGGCAGGCACCACATCTGTTTTTGCTCACCGCTGTATCCCCAAAGCCCAGAACAGAGCCTGTGATCCAGGTAGTCAGTTGGCAAAAAGGATGAAAGAGTAAGTGTTTCCTCATCTGTAAAATGGATGTGACAAGGCCAGCTGGGTTCTCTCACACCCAGGGTTGAACCTTAACCACCATGGTGGCTGTGAAAGTCAGTCCTCTTGCATGAAAATGCTGATACGTCAGTGCCAAGGTGAGTCCCTGAAATTCAGGAGCTGTCACCTCTTGTCTCTCTTGCCTGAAGCCTGTGGGCACAAGGTACAGGGGAGGGACTCAGCAAGGAATGACCGATCCCCTGATCCTTCCCTCGGAGCCCTCTAAGGAAACGGCGAGGTGGGCAGACACAAGGCAAGGCATCTGCTCAGCTGGGACCTGCCACCGTGGCTCTCAGTTGGGCTGTCCTCCA